ATGATTTATTTGAATGCTCAAAGCATGCTATCTTCATCATTTTTTGCATATATATTCATCTTTGCTAATCCACTCAAATCGTACTATTATCTTTCGCCATTTTCCTTTTACTCATTCAGCATTGTTGAAACGATTACCCATTCATAACGAACCCTAACACATTTCTCCGTCGCGTTTTTCGACAAACACCTTTAAACGGTCGATTTCGTGAATTTCTTTAACGGAAAGAGAGTCTCTGATGCCGTCTCAACAGCATTGCTAATGTGTTATATTTGTATTTAGTAGTATTTTCTATGTGAGCAATCACAATTTGTTCGATATATCAATGCAGTATTGATATGTTCAAGGTATCAAATCTTCGCAGTGCTCAAGTGGAGTTCGAAGCGATGAAAATGGAAGTGAAACGATTATTGGATGAAACAGATCAGTTACAAGCCGATAAGGAGGAGGCAAACAAATTAACTGTTGTCGCACAGAAACACGTTAGTTGTTCTCTTGTTCTTTTATTCGTGAAATTCGCCTTTGAAGTCGGTTCTGTTGAAGTACTCGATGATGAAGTAATCGGCTTATTGTTGCCTTAAGACTCACCTCAAAGTCATGAAAATATTTTTCGATGTTGATACGAAAGTGGAGTGTTGTGTTCATTTTACCGATCTGCGATGAACATTAGTATTTGTTTACATTTCTCCNNNCAACAAGAACGCGATCAGAAGCTGGCCTATAAGAAGGAACTAGAGCAGATGAGAAATGCGGAACACTTGCAACAACTCAACAGCATGCTCTTTGGATTGCAGGCCAGTAATGATGATGATACGCAGGCACTGAAACAGGTAACACGGTTCAGTTGTTCGATTGCACATCGTTTCTGTGGCTGGCAAAACGCACTTCTTCTCATTAGATCGCATCGTGTACCGAGAAAGTTCTCTTCAACTTCACTACATTCTCAAGGAAACTTTTTCTAGCCGTTGACATTGAGGATTCACTGTGAGCAATAAGCATTCAACTGATCTGCGCATGATTGTTATCGCCACAAAGTGTCGAACGGTGTGTATTTTCTCAATATCGCAGGTTGTTTTCTTGTAGTTGGAATCGTCATTCATCAGCGACAGTAATGATTTCGGTAAAATGCCACCGAAAGGATCGGATCTGTTCTCGGAGATTCACGGCGATATGCACGGTAGGATCAGTGAGCTTGAAGCAAAGAATGACCAACTGTCGTTGAACCTGAAGGATGCCGAACGCGATATCAGTTTCGTCGTTCCTGTGCTGAAGAAACTTGAAGT